CTAGCATGTAGGAAGCCCTGGGTTCAATCCCCAGTTCAAAAAATAAAATGTTGTACTATCAGTTTCCTCATCTGCAAACAAGGATGTTACCTATGTTATCTATGTTGTTTCAAAAGGATTAAATTGTTTTTGAGAGGATTACATGAGATTAATTTAAATCCACTAGTGAAATGCCTGGCCTTCTCTGAAGGCCCTCTCTGAAGTATTGGCTCCTCCCCCTATTCTTCTCTATTCCTTTAGCCTGTTTTATTTTTATCATTACTTATTTATTTGGTACCAAGGATTGAATCCAGGGACTCAACCCCTGAGCTACATCCACAGCCCTTTGTAATTTTTTTTTTAAAAATTTTGAAACAGGGTCTTGCTTACTTGCTTAGGGCCCCGCTAAGTTGCTGAGGCTGGCTTTGAACCTGCAATCCTCCTGCCTCAGCCTCCCCAGTTGCTGGGATTGCAGTGTGTGCCACCACACCTGGTTTGCCTATTTTATATTCTTCACAACATTCATCGCTACTCACTATTTATGTGTTTACTTATCTATTCACTGGTTACTCCATTAGAATATCTTTTTCACAAGAAGTAAGTTTTTATTGTGCAGTGCAATGGAGCACACCTGTAATCCCAGCAACTAGGGAGGTTGAAGCAGGAGAATCACAAGTTCAAAGCTAGCCTCAGCAGCTTAGTGAGTCCCTCAGCAACTTAATTAGACCCTGTCTCAAAAATGAAAAATAAAAAATAGGGGCTGGGGTTGTGGCTCAGCAGTAGAGCATTTGCCTAACACGTGTGTGGTGCTGGGTTTGATCCGCAGCACTACATAAAAATAAATAAAATAAAAGTAAAATAATTTAAAAAGGGCTGGGGATGTAGCTCAGTGGTTAAAAGCCCCTGGATTTGATCCCTGGTACAAAAAAATAAAAAATAAAAAAAAAGATTTTGTTGTTTTGGCAGTGCTAGGGATAGAAATCAGGGCCTTATGTGCTAAACACCACTCTACCATGGAACTACATCCTCAGACCCATAATTTTGTGTTTTTCAAATCACTATATTCCCAGTGCCTTGCCAGGCATGGTGGCACACGCCTGTAATCCCAGTGGCTTGGGAGGCTGAGACAGGAGGATCGCGAGTTCAAAGCCAGCCTCAGAGACATGGAGGTGCTAAGAAATTCAGTGAGACCCTGTCTCTAAGTAAAATACAAAATAGGGCTAGGGATTTGGCTCAGTGCCTTGGCTAGTAGGTGATCAGTCGATAAACAAATATTTGTTGTTTTAAACATTCAATAAATCTTTGTTAAATGAGTTTGAAGGCAAATGATTACTAGATTCTTAAAAAGTAAATATACGATGTAGATATAAATATAGATTTGCTGGTTGTATTTGTGCACACCTATAATCCCAGAGACTCAAGAGGCTGAGGAGGATCATAAGTTTGAGGCCAGCCTGAGCAACTTAGTGAGACTGTCTTAAAAATTTTAAAAAGGGGCTAAGGATGTAGCTCAAGGGTAAAGCTCCTCTAGGTTCAATTCCCAGTACCATACACACACACACACACACACACACACACACACACACACACACACACACACACACACACACACACGGCTGCAATTCTCTCTCATGCCTGAAAATCTTGTATACATACAGCCAGCAGTGTTGGGAATTTGGTTCATGGGTGCTGGTTAGTGTGGGACCTAGCATATATGTGCTTTGGTGAACACTGTTCCAGGGATTGTGCTTGGGAAGTAATACCCATTAGCATAGGAACTGTTCCAGGGAGTTCTGCTATAAAGACAGTTACTGAACTCTTCTGGTTACTATTAGCTTCCTAAGGTTGCCATGACAAATTACCACAAATATGGTGGCTTAAAACAAACTTATATCCACTCACAGTTCTGGAGGCCTTAAGACCAAAATGAAGATGTCTTCAGGGCCACATTCCCCGATGAGGTTCTAGGGGAGAATCTCTGCCTCTTGCAGCTCATGGCTGTCACTCCAATCTCTGTTTGCATCCCTGAATGACAGGCTTCTTCGTCTCATGTGTGTTTTAGTCTCTTACAAGGACACTTGTGATGGCATTTAAGTCCCACCCAGATAATCCAGGAGAATCTCCTCGTCTCAAAAATCTTTAATTATCTGTACAGATCCTTTTTCCAAATAAGGCAGCATTCACAGGTTCCAAGGATTAGGACTGGACAAATGTTTGGGAGCCATTATCAGCCAACCACAGGCGCTAACTTCTCTGTTTTTCACAATTCCTTTCCCCTCACTATAGAATAGATTTTCGAGAAATAGTGACTTGAGGAAAGTGGGCTTGTAGAAAGAATAGAGGTGGGAATGGAAATAGAGTACAGGAAGAAACTTCTTGAAAAATTAAAGGAATTATACAATGGTTCAGCCATTGCAGGGTTGGGGGGATGGGGCTGGATATTGACCAGGCTCTCCTGCTGGTTCTTTTTGTGTGTCAAGGACTGAGACCCACAGAGTACAAAGACATGGAGAGGTAATTATGCCTGATGGAGAGTAATGACTATGCTGTGCTTCTCATGTAATTAGGCCCAGAGGATGTCTGCCTTTGGGTGGTTTTCAAGAGCTCTCCAGGTAATTGTAATACACATTAAGAGTGGAAAACCACTAGACAATAGTGTTGAGGCAATGAGAATTTCAAAATAGCTGTTAATGCATATTATCTTAAAAGTAGTAACAAGGTTCATAATGTTGACATCAATAATTAACCCTCTTGACCTTCTCAGTGAGATAATAATGAATGTGAAAGAGACAGGAACACTGACTGCTGCCGGGGAGAAGGTGCTTAGCAAGTGAGAGGTGTAGAGAAAAGCATAAGAGCCACCATTGATCCATAACCTCAGTCTCGGTCACCAGATGAGGACTACAGGGCCACCGGAGGTGAGGATGTAGGGAATCAGCAGAGAGCTGTCAAGAGTTGCCTGGAAGAAGAAAGATGGTGTTTTTGTTTGTTTTGTTTTTGTTTGTTTTGCTGTGCTGCAGATGGAACCCGGGGCCCCACACATTCTAGTCAAGTGCTCCCTCACTAAGCCCCAGCCCCAGCCACAAAGATGGTTTTTCTTATTGTTATTTTTGTTTTTCAAGGAAAGTCCTTGGCCTGGAAAGTTCTTGGCCTCCCTTCTGCCCCAGGAGGACCAGAACAGACCTATTATGACTACCAAGCAGGGGTCTATAGTGACTTTAGATCCCTGCAAGCAAAGTTGACCTTTAGGATGGGTCAATTTTTTTAAGTTGCAATTGGACACAGTACCTTTATTTTATTTTTATATGATGCTGAGGATCGAACCCAGTGCTTCACACAGGCTAGGCAATTCTCTACCACTGAGCTACAGCCCTAGCCTGGGCCAAATGTTTTTGGTGCTAACATATTAAATGCACATATTGGGTTCAAGCCAGCTGGTATGAGACCTCACAAAGGAATGAATTAAACCTTTTTGAGACTGATATTTCCAAAAAGGAATATAGCTGTCTGCCCGTATCTGAGGGGGATATGTACCAAGGCTCCCAGTAGATGCCTGAAACTGCAAATAGTGCTGAACCCTAGACATACTATATTTTTTCTATGCATACACACTTAGGATAAAGTTTTTATTTTTTAGTTATACATGGACACAATATTTTAATTTTATTTTTATGTGGTGCTGAGGATCAAACCCAGTGCCTCACATGTGTGAGGTATGAGCTTTGCCACTGAGCTACAACCCCAGCCCAGGATAAAGTTTTTAAAAGATAATTTTTAAAAATATCTGTAGTTGTATATGTTTATACAATACCTTTATTTTATTTATTTATTTTTCTGTGGTGCTGAGCATCAAACCCAGGGCCTCATATGTGTGAGTTAAGTACTCTATCACTGAGCCAAGATCCCAGCTCTAGGATAAAGTGTAACTCATATATGAGTCACAGTAAGGAACTAGGCACAATAATTAATAATAAAATAGAATGAATTTTAAAATATACTATAATAAAAATTATGTGATTGTGGTCTCCCTCTCAAAATATCTTTTTGTACCTTTTTACTTAAAAGAAGCACTTAATGGCATCTCTTTAGTATATCCAAATTTCTAGTATCAATATTCTTGTGCTTTGGGGCCATTATTAAGTATAATAAATGTTACTTAAGCATAAACCTACTGACATCATGAAAGTTGATCTGATAACCAAGATGGCTACTAAGTGGCTAATAAGCCAGTAGCATATATAGCATGAACATGCTGATACAGGGATGATTCATATCCTGGGAAGAACAGAATGGGATGGTGTGAGATTTTATCACACTCCTCAGAATGGTACACAAATTAAATTTTTTGAGTTATTTCTGAATTTTTCCATTAAATATTTTCAGACCACAGTTGATCATGGGTAAATGAAATTGTGCAAATATAAACCATGGATAAGAGGAAACTACTATACTCCCTCTTTTCTCTACTGGGCCTTTTTTCTTTTAGTTGTTGATGGACATTTATTGTATTTATTTTATTTTTATGCAATGCTGAGAATCTAACCCAGTGCCTCACACATGCTAGGCAAGTGCTCTACCACTGAGTCACAACCCCAGCTCCTCTACTGGCTCTTATCCAGGGCTCTTCTACATCTCCCAGCTACATGGGGAGGTAATCCAGGTAGACATTTTTTTCTGTGATAAAATATACATGACATAAAACTTAGCATTTTAATCATTTTTGGGGGTAATCACAGATATACTTTAATGATAGGCAATGTATTCTGCATATATAGAATATCACATTTAATCTAAAAGTCCCAAATCAAGCTATTTATTATATTGAAAAGATAGTATGGGATGGTGGCTTTGAAGCTTCTTTTCTATTTTATTTTGTTTTTTTAAAAAAATATGGAACACTCTGGCTGGGGTTGTGGCTCAGTGGCAGAAGCTTTCTTAGCATGTGTGAGACATTGGGTTCAATTCTCAGCACCATGTGTCAATAAATAAAATAAAGGTCAATTGACAACTAAAATAAACTTAAAAATATGGAACATTTCACAAATTTGCATGTCATCCTTGCACAGAAGCCATGCTAATCTTTTCTTTATTGTTCAAATTTTAGTGTGTTGCTGAAGCAAGCACTGAAGCTGCTTTTTTAAAAAAATTTAAAATTCTAGATTACTTAGAATAATTATAAATATCAGGATGAATACACTACTAAATTTTATATCTTAGTCTCAGCCACAATTATTGGAAAGGGTAAAGAATGTCAACCTGAATCAGTTTTGAGTCATTTGATCTAGACATTTATTTTAGTGTAAGTGCTTTTACTATGGCTGCTGGTGTACAATTTCTAAGTATTGTGGTAAGACCCATAACTCAAAGTTGACCATGTAAACATTTTTAGGATACTGTTCAGTGACAATAAGTTCATTCACACTGCTGGGAAACCATCATCACCATCCATCTTCTGAATGTTTTTCCTCTTGCAAAACTGAAACTACATGTCTATCAAAGAGTAGCTCTTATTAATATTCCCCCACACACACCCGGGGCTTTTGACAACCACCATTCTACTTTCTTTCTCTATGAATCTGACTCTTTTGAGTACTTCATACAGATGCAATCATACAATATTTGGGTTTTTTGTGTGTGTTTGGTTTATTTATGTCCTCCAGGCTCATCCATGCTGTAGCATGTGTCAGAATTTCCTTCTGTTTTCATGCTGAAAAATATTCCCTTCTATGGATATGCATCTTTTCTTTGCTGGTTTGTTTTGTTTTTGTGGTGCTGGGGATTAAACCCAGGGCCTCATGCGTTTCAGGCAAGCACTCTACCACTGAGTTATACGTCCAGGAACATGCCCATTTTGTTTATCCATTCATTCATCAATGGGCACTTGGGTTGTTTCCACCTTCTGGCTATTGTGAATAATGCTCTGCAAACAGGGATTATTATTTTGCAGGAGAGGAAAGTGAGACTCAGAAAGGATCTCACAGCAAATAAGTAGTGGCAGGGTCAGGATTCCTATGCAGGCTTGATGTAGAGCCTATTCATCTTCAGGGTGAGGTGGCCTCCAAAGAAACATTTGTTGTGCTCTCTACCCTTCTACCTCTCATAGCCCTAGCTATCCTGTGAGCTGGCTGTTTATGGTCCCCAGGATCTTGGAACAGGCCCATTTAGAAAATCCTGGGCTCCTCTTCTTTTTAATTTTTTTTTTTTTTTGGTACCAGGGATTGAACTCAGGGATACTTGACCACTAAGCCACATCCCCAGCCCTATTTTGTATTTTATTTAGAGACAGAGTCTCACTGAGTTGCTTAGTGTCTCACTTTTGCAGAGGCTGGCTTGGAACTCACGATCCTCCTGCCTCAGCCTCCCGAGCCACTGGGATTACAGGCATGTGCCACCATGCCCAGCTGGGCTCCTCTTCTTGGGTGACATTTGTGCCTGTTTCTGACCAAAGAAAGAATAAAAGGAAGATGTTGGAGACTCTCTCTCCTCCTAGTCTGCGTCCTGTTTCCTGGAGATTCCCCAGTAGGGCAAGTTTATTTATTTTTTTGTGTCACCAGGGATTGAACCTAGTGATGTTCTACCACTAAGCCACATCTCCACCCCTTTTTTGTATTTTATTTAGAGATAGTGTCTCACTGAGTTGCTTAGGGTCTCATTAAACTTCTAAAGCTGGCTTTGAACTCACAATCCTCCTGCCTCACCCTCCAGAGCTGCTGGTATTACAGGAGTACGCCAGTGCTCAGCCCCCTTTTCAGTTTGAGACAGAGTCTCCCTTGTTTGCCCAGGCTGGCCTCAAACTTGGATCCTCCTTCCTCAGTTTCCTGAGTTGCTGGGATTACAGGCATATACAACCATGCTCAGCCAGGTTTATCCCTTTTTTTTTTTTTGGTCATGTTTATTTTTGAACAAGTATCACCAGTACAGCCTCCATGAGGAGGTGGAGGGAGAAAGAGACAGTTAAGTTCCTTCTTGTAATTTTCTGTGTGGCCTAGGTCTGAGAAGTGGGCTTCTCTGCCTCTTACTTCCTCCATTCCTCCCTGCTGCTATCACACATGCAGAAAGCAAGAAACACTCCTAAAGTTTGGCATACCGGTTTTGAGAACTCCTTTATACCTAAGTGGATTAGAAAATTCCTGAAGATCAAGCTGACTTTCTGGCCTTCCTCTAGAGAATGCTAGCTCCTCCTACCTGCACAAAAGACAGAGGAATCAAAATTCTTTGAGGACCATTAAGACAAATGTCAGACAGCTGGGTGCGATGGCATCCTCCTGTAATCCCAGCAACTTGGGAGGCTGAGAGAGGAGAATCACAAGTTCAAAGCCAGCCTCAGCAAAAGTGAGGTGCTAAGCAACTCAGTGAGACCCCATCTGTAAATAAAATACAAAATAGGATTGGGGATGTGGCTCAGTGGTTGAGTACTCCTGAGTTCAATCCCTGGTACCCCCCCCAAAAAAAAAAATATAAAAAGACATATGTCAGCTGGGTGCAGTGGTACATGCCTGACATCCCAGTGGCTTAGGAGACTGAGGCAGGATTGTGAGTTCAAAACCAACCTCAGCAATTTAGGACCTAAGTAACTTAGTGAGACCCTCTCTCAAAATAAATTATTAAAAAGAGATATTTCAGCTACAAGACACACTCTGTTTGATGTTTCAACTGTGCCATAACAAAGGTGGCACTGCTCCCCACTCCAAGTCAAGGAGCATGGGAAGGAGTGAAAACAGCAAATGCACAACTGAGAATGAATCCAATTGTCCCAGTGAGAACTGGGAAGGAGCAGGATGTCCACTTTAAGATATTCCTTGGGAGGGAGGGAGAAGGAGCTGTAGATCAGTGAGTACTAAGTTGCAATTAGATAGGATCTAGAAGCTCTGGTGTGCTTGTACACAATATGGTGACTGTAATAACAACAACATTTCATTTATTTTGCCTAAATATAATTTTTTACTTCACATTTAAAAAAAAAACTATAAGAAAGAATTTTGAAAGTTTCTACCATAAAGAAATGATACATTTTTGAGGAGATAAATACATTTAATTTGATTTAATCATTATGTTATATACCCATATACCAAAACGTTTCATAGCTCTGTTGGTTGCTCATCTAATGGTCACACTCCTCTTCCCTCTTTCCCATCACAAGTGTCTTCACACAGCAGAGGTTGGAAATGTCAGATACTTGTTTTTCCTTGTAAGGTGGAGGAACCATGTGCTATGACTGAGTCCTGGACAATGAGTCCCAAGAAATCAGCTGGAAGGCACCAGGAAAGGGGTTTTATTTTGTCTCTAAAAGAGAAATAGGTGAGGAATATTCTTCTTCCCTAGCTATTTGCCTTTGAGCAAGATTGAAGGAAGTAGCCATTTCACAGCTATAATATGATAAATGTCAATATGAGGCTGAATGACAACATGCTTAGCAACACTGAAGATTAAAAAAAAATCAGGCGTCAGACTGGGGCTATGGCTCAGTGGCAGAGCACTTGCCTTGCATGTGTGAGGCCCTGGGTTTGATCCTTGGCACCACATAAAAAATAAATAAATAAAAATAAAGATATTGTTTCCATCTACAACTAAAAAGTATTTTTAAAATGTCAGGGGTCTTTGGGCTGGGGATGTGGCTCAAGTGGTAATGTGCTCGCCTGGCATGCACGGGGCACTGGGTTCGATCCTCAGCACCACATAAAATAAAATAAAGATGTTGTGTCCGCTGAAAACTAAAAAATAAATATTAAAAAATTCTTTTCTCTCCTTAAAAAAATTAAAAAAAGTCAGGCGTCTTTGATGAAGTCTTTGACCTCCTACATAAACCCTGAGATCACTCTGGACTCATTTTTTTTGCCTTACACATGGGAGACAAGTGCTCTACCATCAAGCCACACCTCCAGCCTACACTCTGGACTTATGAAGTAAGATAATAAAAATCTCTCTCATTTACTTGAGCCCCCCTCCCCCAAAAAAAGCCTCAAACCAGGCAGTAGTAGAGCATAGGGTTAGCATGCACAAGGCCCTGGATTCCCTCCTTAGCACTAAAAAGAAAAACAAGAAAACAAAATCTCAGAATGTTAAATAAACAGAATTTTATCTTTCACTCACATTAGGTGTGCAACATGGGTTGGTGAGAGGTTGGCTCACTGTAGTCCCATTGGGATCCAGGGTGATGATGGCTCCATCTTGGCATGTGCTCTGATGCACATGGCAGCAATGTGACAAGAATCAGAGGAACTGCACACTGTCTCTTAAAGGTTTATTGGCCAAGACAAGCCACATGTCCCTACCTCACTCCAAATGGTTCAGGGAAGTTCAGTCTTGCATGGTTCTGCAGGAGGAGCTGTTTGTCGATCCAGCAGTGTCAATGCTTGTCTCTGGTCAAGACTTGGCTTTTAGGTGGGTTGGACTGCAAGGGGAGGACATGGATTTATAAGAGCTCATGTGGCCGGGGATGGAGGTGGGTAATCTGTTCTAACCCCATCTTCCACTACCTGAAGGCATGGGAATAAACATGACACAAACCACACCATGCTCAGGGCTGCCTTTAAGCCCTGAGATGGAAACAGGTACACTGAAAACAATAACAGGGCATCCGAAAGCATTCTTTCCTCTGTAGGTTGTGTTTGTTCCCTGTTACTGCTCTAACAAGTCATGACAACTGTAGTGGCTTAAAAGAACACAAATGCACTACCTCAGAGTTCTAGAGATCAGAAGTCTGAGATAAGTGACCTTGGAATAAAATCAAGTTCTTGGCAGAATTGTGTTCCTTTTGGAAGCTTTAGAGAAGAATCTGTTTCCTTGTCTTTTTTAGCTTGGGGACCCCACTCATATTCCTTGACCTATGGCCCCTTCCTCCATCTTTAATTTTGTTTTTCTTATTTTTCTACATGACAGCAGAGTATATTTTGAAATATTATACATACATAGAATAAATACTGTTTGTTCCATTTAGGACCCCATTGTTGTATTTGTATACGATGTGGAGTTACACTGGTTGTGTATTTATATATGATAGGAAAAGTATGTCCAATTCATTCTGCTCTCTTTCCTATTACCATCCCCCCTCCCTTCCCTTCATTCCCCTTTGTGTAGTCCAATGAACTTCTAATCTCCTCCCTTGTGGGTTAGCATCTACATA